AAGATGTTCAACCTATTACATATTACTTATGAATACACATTATCAACTCAATGATTGAGCATCATTTATGAAAATATGTTCAAGCAATCTAAAGGCAGACTTTATATTGACACATTGGATTGCCCTTCTTCGATTCATCGCTTGTTGAAGGTTTTGACTTTGTCTCATCTTTCAAAAAATGTCTTTTAAATTATCCAATTTGAACAGGACATTTCAGAAATAGAAGACGGAAATAAATTCTTGAATGACAGTTTCCAGATCAGCAGGTCTGCTTTTTAGGGTGGTGACTGCATGTTGTTCGGAAAGAACAGGTTGTAAAGAATTTAATTTTGAAAGGTTTATTAATGGCAACAGAAAATAGGTTTTGGTAAGCCTTGTTTGTATGAACATGGGAATAAAATAATTGGCTAACAGTAACGTACTCCACCCATCCTTTATCCGCAGATTTTGACTGAGATGTAATTACATAATTTATGCGCCGTAAAAACTATAGGCATCAGGTCATTGCAATAAACAGGAAATGGGTCCCTCACAAACGACATTCACTGCTTTCAAAGCCGCCAATCTCCCACCACTAAAGGAATAAAAACAACATCACATAGAGAATAAGTAGTCTTTATAATTCGTGAGAAAAGGGAGGATGGCAGCTGCACCTTTTCATATCTTTTAAAGGTGGAGTGTTTTTGTCTTAGTGAATCTCAACAGGTTGAATGGAATTTTCTTTATCTGTTTTTATTGGCAGCATCCACCTGACTTCTGGGAATCAGCAATACATCTACGCAGACTGAAAACAAAAAGGCCTTTTGTATCTGGCTTTGACCCACAAAAAGTATTTATTGTTATTGTATAACAGGTTTAAGTTTGTTTTCATCAAGTTAGAATTACAGTTGCTACTCTTTAGGTCCTGGAAAAATTCAGATTAAAATAAAGACGCTGATGCAAAAACATTTTTAGTTCGCCACAAGCTCGTTTAGGCCTACTGCATTCAATACTCAGAAAAAAATTCAACATGAAATAGCTTCATTAAAAAAACGCCCAGTATGTTATAGCAGTTTGGCACTGTATTTCCTATCAAACATTCAACAAAGGAGAGTAAATAGTGCATGGATTTAGGACTATTTGCATATGTCATACTTATATGGTGCTTTTGTAACTATTTATAGCAACAGGATGGTAATTGACTCAAATAAATGACACAAAGAAAACTGTCAGCCAATGTTTTTTTTATAGTTTTCAAGAAAGAAGCCCTATGGCTCAGACAATATCTGCAATTCATCTTTGGACTTGGTTTATTATTAGAATGTATGAGTATCGTCAACCCTTTGACCGCACCTGTGAATGGTTTGATGAAAAACAGAAACTGAAAAAGAACATTTACCAATCAGCTGTTTATTGTTACATAAAACATTTTAAACAAAGTACATATTCAAAAAATACATAATCATTATTAAAGGGTACAGATTGATTTTGTATTTCACAACCGTACATTTTGTGGACTCACAACAGACACATCAAAAAACAGTATAGATGACGTATTCTAAAAGTCATGACCCATGACAACAACTTGTAGATTTAAGATAATAAGTTTAACTGAGTAAGGAAAATATACATTTCCATGTATTTGACATTTTCTAAAAGTTTGCTACTCCTTCTCAGTATATCAAAACAAGTTATAAAGTAATTATCTTTTCAGTTGAAAGGAACGAGCCCAAAATGTAAAGCAAAGACGCAAGCACCATCACAAGGTAAGATATAAAATAGACAAATTAATTCAACCTTAAGTTACTAAATCTTATGGATGTGACTACTATACATCAATGACAATCTCTTCTGCTGATTTTCATTTGATTCTGCCTTGGTGTTCATTCAAATGGATTCCAAGGATTGTACGTTCTTTCATACAAAGCATTGTATTTCTCCATAAAATACTCAAATGCACTTTGTATTACCTCTACCACTGGACTGGCAGGGAGAGAATTGGAACCTGCGCCATTGTTTACTGTCACCACCTCTGTCAGTGGGGGTGCTGGGACTTCGATAGCCTGTGGTGCTACCCTAAATATCTTAAACATTTTGGAATTGATCAACACAGCTGAGATAGTTGCAAGTATTCCAGCTATAACTGCGTATCGAATAAAACCTCTAAACCATGTTCGAGGTGCTCTGTCCACTTGCTTCTTTAAGTAGTTGCTTTTGGCCTGTTTTCTGATCTCTTCCTGTTGCATGTTTCCTGATGCTTGTCTAATTTGCCTTTCTTCTTTCTGTATTTCTCTCTCTATCTCTTGTATAGCTTCGTCTGTGTAGTAGCCTGAACTGTTTTCCATCACTATAATATCTATAGTCTTGAGTAGCTCTGCCACCTGGAACTGGTTACTTCTATACTCGTCCCCTTCATTGGTCTTCCAGTATTTACTGTCAAAGACGTGGCACCGGCCTCCGCACCTGGTCACCAGATCGCTCAGGCCTTCACTTTGCTCTACGTACTCCTCTATTTTCTTTCCTTCGGGGAGCTGGTCGCCATGAGTGAAGACAATTACGGTGTGTTTGAGCGCGTCTTCAGAGAAATACTGAAACATTTGAGTGATCACAGCCCTCTCCTGCTCTGTGAATTTCTCCACTTTGAGCAGAATGAGAATAGCATGGGGCCCAGGCGCGCACTCTGTGAGACACCGCACCATCTCTGGCTTCATCTCCTCCTCAGACTTTCCTGCATCGAAGAAACCAGGAGTGTCGATCAAAGTGATGCTTCGTCCATCGATGGATTTGGTTTCTGCTGAAGAAGATTTTATTTTTGAGTCATTACAATGGTCAATTTTGAATTTGGCTTCTCCCAAAATGATGTTAGCAAGGCTGCTCTTTCCGACTCCAGTTTTTCCGAGCAGCACAATCCTCGTTGTGTTTGGCACTAAAATAAAAAAAAGTGACTCAGTTAATAAATTAATTTGAACATTTCACGCAATTGTATCCCCTCTATCTCACCCTTTAACTCTGTATCTCTAATTATAGCACTCTGGCAAAACAAATATCTTAAAAAATAAATACAAATTCACACATCAAAATTGCATGTTTACCAATATAATATTTTTTGGAGACTGTAAGAGACCTGACAGGTTCTGAGAATAATAGCAATAATATAAACCAATAATAATATTACTTTTTATATATTTAAAGGTATTCAAAGAGAATTTACTGCTGCATACAATTTTAAAAACAACCCAAATCAAATATAAAACACAATATTAATGACAGGTGAGTTTTGGTTTGTGATTTGAATGAAAACAGGTGCAGTCAAAGATGTGTTTGAGGAGCTACTTTGAGGGCAGCAAAAGATAATTAACTAATGGATACTGTCACATTTCTTTTTTTAAATGATACTGAAAGATTAAACATTTTCACATGACATGTTAGTCCACAATGCCCCGGTGGGCTGAATGTAGATAAATAAGGCTTAATGTGACAACTGTCAGAGTGTATTTGATCAAAGTGACATAATAGCCTCAAACAACCTTAATAATAAACAAAAGTATATTACAACTCCAATCATTTCTACATAGTTTAAAGGAGGAGTTAGGATTTTGAGATTTGAGTAGGAGCCCAATTCATTTACAATACAAACAATCATTTAATTTGAATAAAATATTTTAATATAATATGAAGCTTAGCTCACCTTCCATGCTGTCAAAGGAAGAATTATTAGCAAAAGAAAAGACTGCGATCCGGGACACGTCTCCACTGTGAGCTTTTCGTTTGTTCTCTCACTCTGACTCACCTCTTGCTTTAACTTTTTTTTCTTCTACCTGTCCGACTTGTTCCTCGGCTGCCGGCTGATAAAATGATCCACTCACATTACACTTCTTTCATTCAAGCACAGGCATCAATATACTGCATTAATAAAAAACAATGATCAACCACAAATTTTTACATAACACAAATGAATTCATGAAATATGCTTAAATATGAGTCGCTGATTATTTGACTCGCACCGGTGTGACTGCGTTTAGTTTTTCTGACACAGTATTGTGACAAATCATCATATGTAAAATCAGATTGTTTCCATAGTAACATAAAGCAGGAAACATACAGAGAATCTGTACAAACCAGTAGTGTTTGTTGCAGAATATCAGCCTTTCTAATATCATGAGGTCCTTTCGGCTCATTGGATGAATTAAAGAGGCCCTATTATGTTTTCGGGGTTTTCCCTTTCCTATAGTGTGCTATACAGGTTTTAGTGCATGTAAATGGTCTGCAAAGGCTAACATCCAGAGGGAGTTTCTCTCTCATACATTCCCCCCCTACCTGAAACGCCTCCTTTGGTCTCCTTTATTTACTTCTGGAACATAGTGACATCACTATGTAACAAGTAAGCTAGCGCTCCAACACATTGTACGTGATAGGCTTAGGCTTGATAATGAGCATAATAAGTCCTCCTTAAGATTGTATAATAAAAAAATACACTTGAAAACACATTATTAAATTACTAATTTATTGTTGTTGTTGTTGTTGATTAAGTTATGACAAAAGAAAACAATGAAAACAGATTCAAAGAAATTACGGAGAGCCCACATCAGATCATGATGGGATAATCGGATAATTCATAATTGTATTTTTATGGTAAATACTAAAGGATACAGTAAATCAAAGGTGTTCAACGTAATAAAAAGGGAAGGGAAGCAAGCAAATGATTGGCACTGTATATACTTGTCAACATATTTGAGTCACACATTAAACATACAATGCTTTCAAATGTTAATGGTAAGACTTCAACTCTCAGGTCAGACGCCTCTCTAATAAACATATACTAAAGTCATATAAAATGCATTTCATAACTACTCTCATCAGTTTATCAAGGTTTCCTTGTACTGTTCTGAGAAATAATGACTGACATTTTTCACTGTTTTTGGCAGATAAATGGATGATGGAAAAAAAGCAAGTTGCAAGTTACAAAATATATGATATAGGAGTAGAAATAATTTTAATTCCTTATCTAATTTTAAGGAATTCTTTCAAATTAGATTAAAAAAAACAATATACAACCCTGCTTACAATATTGCAATATGTTAAGTTTTAATCGTATTGCCAGATTCTTGACATTACACAGCCCTAATGCTGCAGTTAGTCTTTTGTCATGATATTCATTTTTTAGCAACAAAAACAGCAATGGCGACCAAAGCTGCAATACCAGCTACCCCTACAGACCAATTAGCCCATGACCCATATGCAGCATGTAGCTTCTCAATGGTGTAACAGCTTGTTCTGTTTGCATCAGCCATCCTGTCTATTGTCTTGAGTATTTCTGCCACCTGGAACTTGTTGCTCCTGTATTCATCCGTCTGGTCTTTCTTCCATTTAATATTATCAATGACGTGGCACCGTCTCCCGCACTTATTCACCAGATTCCTCAGATCTGGATTCAGATCGACCCACTGCTCGATCGTCATTCCCTCAGGGAGCTGGTCACCACGTGTGAAGACAACTATGGCATATTTTAAAGCTTCTTCAGAGAAACATTGTTGGATTTTTGTGATGACGTCCTTCTCTTGCTTTGTGAATTTCTCCACTTTAAGCACAATGAGAAAAACATGAGGCCCAGGAGCGCACTTTTCGATACACTTCTCTATCTCAGACTTCAGCTCCTCCTCCGGTCTGCTTGTGTCGAAAAACCCAGGAGTGTCGACCCACATGAGTTTTGTCCCGTTGACACGTTTGGTTTCTGCTTGACATACACGTGTTCCTGAATTGGCCGAATCGTCTATCTCGAACAAAGTCTCTCCGAAGATGGTGTTGGCGAGGCTGCTCTTCCCAGCTCCAGTTTTTCCCAAAACCACGATCCTTCTTGTTAAATCTAGAAGACAGTAATGACTCTATGTCACTTATATATTTCACTGCTTTTGCAGGAGATATAGAGTGAGCAAAGCATTTCAAAAATAGCAAAGCTGTGATGACAATATCAGCATGCTAACTTAACTTTGTTTAGAGTAGGCTTACATCTGCATATTTTGACAAATACATGAATGCATACAATATGTCTAAAATACATATGTATAATTTCATACAGTATTATATAATACAGTAATAAGTTGTATAGGCTGTCTGTGTAGTCAATGTTTTTTACGCAACATTTGTGAACAAGCAGCTTGAGTGGACACAGAAGATAAAATATTTATAATAATACGTTTTGAAACTGAAATAATATGAAGTTTTTTATTGTTCTCACAAAATAATGTAAATAAGGAATTCAGGATTCATCATCAATGGGTATTTTTTGTCAATAATCTACTCGCCTAAATCTATTTTTGTATTATTTAAATTGCTGGTACTCACAAAAAAATAAACATGATCTTTATCATGACTTAGTTTTATTTATCTCCTTTCATTTGCTTTCATAGGTAAGAGTCAACCTTATGAAATTACCCTTTTAAAAGAGTATCCAAATCAATGAATGTAGACAAGATAGAACAAACATAATTTCGGCATTTAAGTTTCATTGTTCGAAAATGGACCCAAACTTGTGAAAACATTATAATATTATTATTATTTATGGAATGAGTCATCTTAACTTACCACTCATGCTTGGACAAAATTGTAAATCAGCAGACTCCGATCTGGAGGTTGTTGTGACTGCGTATCGTTTCTTCTGCCTTTCGCTTTGTTTGACACCTGTTTGACTTGTTTCGTGGCGACACACTATTGGCATGAGCATATCACACAGTGGACATTTTAATTCAAGTGTCCACATTTATAATAAGCACCACCTCTGTTGCATGTCAACAAGCTACAGAAGCATGTTCCTTATTTTTAACATTTCACATCTCCACTGTTTTCTTTTTTTTACCTTTATGGGCCTTCAGTTTGGATTTATAGACCATTTGTTCAAATGAGTATTTGTGTACTTTTCAGCACTGCAAATGCAACTCCTTTCTTCCTGGAAGTAGTGAGGAGGATTTCAAATAAAACGTTGATAAGACATTGGTAGACATCCTGCAGCTGCATTTACATCCATATTGGAATTTAAACTTGTCAGTTGGTTAAATGTTTTCTAACGAATCCTGATCCTTATTGACATCTAGAGGTTGCTGTATGAACTCCAATGCTGTCTCACAACTTGGTATTTTCTTTGACTTTAGTGTCCCTTTCTGTTTTGTCACTTTCTCTCGCCCACCCTTGCTGAAAAAGGAAAACTTAGCATTTGACTAAACACATTTTATATACATAATCAAACATAAACACATCTCTACATGCACACATTAAGAGGCATCAATAAAAAGCACAACAGTCGATATTCACAAAATAACAGTGACTTCTAAACGAATGAGGAAGAATATATTACATTATAATATAATATGTGTGTGTGTGTGCAGGGGGTGATCTCGTTTACCAAGTTTGAATGATTTGCTCAAGTGACATTTACTTTCATTGTTTATGGTGATACATTGTTATCCACAAAGAGCCGCAACTTTTTTAAACAAAATAAAGCCGTGCAGACATTAAGTGACTTCTTCTGGTCCTTTTTTGGACAGGAAACAGGGTGCAATGTTTTCAAAGATTCAGCAACATACACATATGTTAAAAACAAGTTCACATATGTCGTTTGTGGCTTTAATAATTGACAGTATTTGCACTACACAACTCCTCTAAAAGACCACTCAGTGGTTAAAATAATGTATAATATTATTACATGGTTTAGTTGAATACTCGATTCTGGTTGGTCAATTCATAACACGTGACACGTTGTTAATCCAGAACAGACAGACCGCTGTCAAGGATTTATTGACCGTTGTTAAGGATGCTCACATCTGCACAAACAAGTCCGTTCGATTTAACTGTATACAGTTTGGCCAGTTTACTTTTCTAACTGACAAGAAAACAGCGACAAGAAAACAGCGGAGAAGTAACGGGCAGAAACCCTCCTTTTTACGCAGCGGTCCAGACATAATGGCAAAACATATTCAGTGTGCAGTTCCTTTGGCATTAGGGCAGGGATATCTAGATACTTTCCAAGGTTTGACATAATGAATTGTACTACTTTTAAAGCAAGCAACAATGTTTTCAAATCTATAATCAAAAAGCTCAGCCTTCCTGCCGTTGCTAACGGTAACAACGGACTATTTTCCTTGGCAGATGCATGTCAATTTAAATCAATACATAGGCCTACAACTATTTTTTAAATAAATAAAATCATTTTCTAAATCCATAAAAGCATTTCAATTAATAGTGGGAGTAATATCATTAATTTGTTGAGAATGTGGCCATGTAATAAGCGGGATAATGTGCAGCGACTTGGTCCTTCATGCCGATCTAGATCCCTCCGCTTCGCGTCGGGCTCCTGATCAGCCTGTCGGTGTTCTTTTCCCCATAATGAGCGCGTCGCTGCACATTATCCCTTACTACATAATAAGACAATAAAATAAATGTTTTGTTATATATCAAGGGGAAATGTTACCAAGTATCAAAGTTGCATAATACAGTATGCCAAAACAGTTTTCCAAAATGGATAATACAATATAAACAGGTAAGGATCAGACATGCACAAACAATCTCCAATCTGAATTCAATGTGAGTATAGTAGTTGAATCATTCTGTGAAAAATAAATAAGCTACTTAAGATTGAAACACACACAAGTCAAATCTATTCCATATTACTTATGAATAAACATTATCAGCTCAATAGTTAAAGGGGAATTTAGAAGAAGATTTTCATGCAATTACATGCAGATGTGAATTTTAAGTGACACATTTAATTTCCGAACGAGGTATTTTCTGTGTTACGGCTTTACTCGCTACAGGGTGTACTTTCAGGGTTTGTCACTCTGCAGACCGTTTACATGCAGAAAAACCTTCATAACACACAAGGGGACGGGTAATAACCGGAAAAGCATGACATGGGACCTTTAAGCTCAAAGCACACACAAGTTTTACATGTTACTTATGAATAAACATTATCAGCTCAATAATTAAAGGGGGAATTTAAGTAAGACAAGGGCTTATCTTATGTCACTTTGGTATTTTTGA